GAAGGTTGGAAGGCATGAACCAAGACGGGGGAAACTGAAAAATTCCAGTTTGTACCCTCTGGATACTACTAACTGTACACAATAATCCTGTACTTTGTGAACCCAAATCTCTGCAAACCTTTTTCCAAGCACCCCACAGAGTTAGGGTCCTATTCATTGTGAAGGCTTAGAAGGGTAAGAGTTTGACTAGGTGCACCTTGAAAGCCGAAAGGACACTCTTAGCAGTGCTTGAAGATTATTTGCTTTGCAAAACCCTGGCCTTCTGCTTGCTAGGTAACAAGGTGCTTTTCTCTATGGTCACCTTTTTGATAAAGCTATCCAAACCTTTACCAAAGATGTTCCCTTGCGAATGTAATCCTCTTCTCCAATAGCTTTTTTTTTTTTTTAAATCTAAGCAGGTTCCGCTAACCAGTAGTTCAGCCACAGAAGCCTACACATTTAGACTGACCTCATCCCCACCCTAGATAGCTGACACAACCAGGGTGTCTACATGGAAGCAGGAGTCCAAAGTCTCACATCTTGCTTGTTACCTATCTGCATAGACCAGGGATGTCCAAACGCTGCCCCTCCAGCTGTGGTGAAACTACAAATCCCATGAAGCATCTCTCTGGGAGTCGTGGCTGTGAGAATCTTGCAAAGCCTCATGGGATTCGTAGTTCCACCACAGCTGGAGGGGGTGCAGTTTGTACATCCCCGGCATAGACCATTTCTTCTAAGGAATGCACAGGGTATGTTTTAGGCATTCCAAGATGGGGCAGCGGATCCCGGGAATCAAGGTGAGGGGTCATCGCCTATATGTGAAACATATATGTGTCATACGCCGATCGCCTATATGTGAAACACCCGGTAACGGGTGTGTGCATTTAGCGGGTCTTTTCTGCCCGTGCGTGCCCGCTAGGGGGCGCGCGCGAGCAGAAAAAAATTGCCGTCTGGAGACGGCAACCCGCAGATGCTGCAGTGCCGTCCGTCCGTTTTTTTACTACGGGCGGACGGCAAGAGGTTAAGGAACCCACACTTGTAACCTTAGGGTGGTCAGAAACCAGAGGATTAATGGACAGATATTCTCTGACCTAATCTGTTAACACTGCTATCGTGTTGCACAATTTCTGCGACAATATATTTCGGGATATCAGATGAAGAATCCTCTGAATTGGAAGCCACACTTATTTCCAACTCTTCACCACCCTCTTTCTGGTTTGGAAGCAGAGAAGGGTTAACTTCCTCATCCGACTGGGATTCAGAGGAAGCTTCCAACTTGAAATTTCCGACAGAAATCTGACCCATGAAAACGGACATTGACGCTCCAAAATTATCCTTGCTGAGACCGGAAAAATGAGCCCCAGCCGAAAGAGGCAGATGCACCAGAGGGTAATCCCATTAAAGGATGGATTAGCGGACAGATTCCCGTGAGTACCTTAAGGGGTACCATAGGTACCCCTTAAGGTACTCGCAGTACAGTTAATCTGCTTTGACCAGTGCCAAGTCCCTAGGTCCATTTGTGTCCTAATAAAGCTCTGTGCCTCCACTCTCCAGAATAATGGAAGAGGAGATGCCTGGAAGGTGCTAGAATTTAAAAACTGTCCCACCCACAGCCCTACCACCATAAACGCAAAGATGGCCGGCAAAGTCCATACTGCACAAGTGTGAACCCTGCACAATTAATTGAGGGCTCTGGCAAAATGGCAGCGTGAGCCTGCACCTCCAGCAGTACACCAAAAAACCTCCTACACTGCTAGGGGGAGGAGGAATGGCTAGATGGGCGCAGACATTTCTGAGACCTCTGCAGGTAAGGGGGAACCGCAACATGCCAGGCCCCAGGCGTGTCAGTGTACAACCCCCGAAGCTCTCGCCAAGGGGCACCGATCTGGAAGACCATCTAACCCGGCAGGTCGCTTGCAACTCAAACTTTGTAGAAGACATCATAAGGTGAGCTTAACAAAATTATCTCTGAGAGAAATGGGAACATGTCCATCACCTAAGGATACTTTGATAGTTGGAGGAGGAGTTATGTAGATCTCTGGCTGGTGTCCAGTCACCTGAAAGTACAGCTATATAACCCATCAGGCAGGATTTTTGGTGTAGGGTACTGTATGAACAAGAAATAGGACAGGTTGTATTTAATCGCAGCATGTTGCAACACACTGCGGTATGATTTGCAGACCTAGATGTAAACAAAGGGGGATAATGCGTAATGCAATGAGAAAAGCATTACAGCACATGAAAAAAAAAATCACAGCAGTGTGTTCATGGAATAAGTCTTTACTGTCAAGACAATGCAAAGACACATTTTCCGGTATACAAATTCATCTAATAAGGTGTCACCTTTTGTACAATTTATAGATCAAGTTCAATAACACTTGGATAAGCCATATTGTGAAAGAAAAAGTTGTAGAAAGAAGCCAAATGTTTGGGTTTAACACAGTGGGATGTCTGTTGAATTCTTTTATACAGTTAGCTCTCCTTCAGTTTCAGATATCCGAATATCCTGGAGAAAAGCCATCCAGAGTGAGGAATTTTGCAACGTGTCAAGTCCAGTGGAGAACCTATGTGTACAGTCACCTGTAGAGCAAGAGTCTGCTCATTGCAGCCTGGTGGACTTGAGCATGGCTTGTTTCCTGTCTGCTTCTCATTTGTCTGAGCAAAATGAGTCCCCAGACCCAAGGATGTCTCTGAGCTCTGGAAAACCAGATCCTCATTATAAAGCAGGTTTAAATCCGAACTTGACACCCTTTTTGGTTAGTGAAATTAAAAAGTCTGAGCAAGACAAGTTTACTCCATTAAAGGAATGTGATAAAATGCAGATGTTGCCGTCTGTAGTTGGAGAAAAGAATCTTACTTTTATTTTTGATGACCAGCCGGATAACAAGTTGAAAGACAGCACAATAATTATACCTGCACCTAGTCGAGATAATGTTTTGACACATTCAACTCTTTCATGGGACTCTTCGAAAGCAATGGATTACAGCATCAGTTCAGAGAGCCATGATGTGACCCAGTTTGGCATTCTACATGAAACTATCCCGGAAGGAGTTGGGAACATGAGTCTTAACAGCACAAGTAGTGCACAGACTCCAGAAATAGATAGGTACGATACCAGAACAGAAATTGGTGAGATCCCCTTAGATAGTACAGTGGGTGGCTGGGAAACTATGGAGCGTAAAATGGACATAGATTCTATACGTACTAGATACGAAGCTCTAAAAAGGACATTTTTTACATCTTTAACAGAGGAGAGAAATATTGGCGAGTATACGCCTTTGAGCAGGGTTCCCAAGCAAAAATCAGATTCCTGCCTTCCAACAGAGACTAGCGGTGTGTTCAACGCATTAGATAAAGGATTAACATTGGACTTCGAGTATCTAGCCACTCTATCACCCAGAGACAGAAAGCTGTCGCTTCCACAGCTCATCTCTTTTTCTCCCTGTGAAGATCATGTGCGTGCCAGCTCCACGGAGGACTTCTCAGATGTGTTTGAACCACAAGGTAATCTTTAATTGAGTTTATACTAGGAGATCCTTGTATTATTTTGTGTGGGATAAAGTATGCCATACTGTAAATTTTTGTATCAGGAGTATTGAAATTTCATAGAGTAGTGTGACTGTGGCCTCTGCATCTGTGCAGGTCATGCAAATGCAGGCTGAATACCAATATATGCCTAATATTTTTTTGGAAATAACACCTTAAGCTCTTGGCCAGCTTGAGAATTTACATTCTCAGATTGATGTATGCATAGAGAAGTGCTTCTCAACCTTTTTTTTTTTTTTTTCCTGACGCCATGTCACTTTTTAAAAGTGTTTGCAAAATCTTGAGGCACCCCGGTCTAAAATGTCAAACAAAATTATGTGACCCCCCTTCAAAATACATACCAAAACCTTATCAGAGATGGTAGTCTGATGTGGATTTTAAGGGGGTACCCCATGCAATAACACAACAAAACGGTGTACCCTTTCACATAAGAGGCCCACTTTACATCGGGTGCCACTTCCGTTCACATTGACACGTCCCCCCCGCTCTTTCTTCCCTTTTAAATCTGTGGCCCTTTTCAGATCAGGAACTTCCACTTCATATCAGAAGCCTACCTGCACCATTGTAAAGCATGACACTGTGTGGACATTTTGAGGCACCCCAGGGTACCATGGCACCCTGGTTGAGAGGCTGGCATGGAGTACCAAGTGCAATGTGTAGAGTTGCATAGTTTATAATAGCAGCACTCAACATTAAAAGTAATCGTGACAAAATACAATCATTAACCATTTACAACCCTTATAGCTGCTAGGATAAAAACTATGCCTGGTTTAAAGTCAAATGTCTGTCCAAAAACAAATGGTTTTTCGGAGTTCTTGCTGCATTGGTGGATTAATTTAGATTTCATGTGCCGGACCGTCACTTATAAGCTGTACTTTCTAACCTACGCAAGAACAATTTGATGTCATGTGCCTTGGATTACTTTAACAAATACTCTGAAGTATCTGAATGTTATACTTTTCTTCTTCCCAGGCACTGGAAATATCAACAAGACCATTGATTTCACGCATTCTGCATCAGATCTGCAGAAAAGCACCGATTTGAAGGAGTGGGGCAGCTTATAATAATGTAAAAATATGAAGACCCTTTTATATGAATGGATCCTATATTTGTAAATAAAGCCTAAACCCTACCACATGACCTCTCAATATGTATGTTTAACCGTTACTTGTATAATTTACTAACTTAATTTTTGTTTGCTTTAGCTTAACTTATTTGGATACACATGCACTTTTTTTTAGTTAATTAAACATCATCTTTTGCTTGCACTTACAAATACAATTATTTTACCAATACAAGTGTTTTAAAACATGCTGTATGGCACTCCGTTAAGCACCAGTCAGTGGCTTTTCCCCTTTGGAGTCTAGCTGAATCATATTTTTCTGAGCATATTAAATGCCTAGTTCTTTTCTTTCCACTTTTCCAATCAATATTTTAAAGTTAAAAATAAACAATTAAGCAGTCTCTTGTGGCATTTTGAAGACCTGCCATTTTTTTCTTTTGCCTCTGTGTGTTGCTGATTTTGTAGGTGGAGTATTTTGGTGTGATTTAGTGATCCATGTTGCTTTTAAACAGTTTTGCACTTATATTTTAAAATTGAAGTTTGTTAGTCTTTATGGCATTTGACCTACTAGAAAATGCAAACAAATAAATAATATTTTTTAGGTTTTTTTTTTTGGTCCACAAATTTTTCTTAAAAATCCACTAAACTATGTGGACAAGGGGGCGATCTGGTGATGTTGACCAAGAAGAACAAGCAGGAGTGTCAGGCAAGCACCAGCCAAAGTTAAAAGGGATCTCTCGCTTCGCAGTGGGTCATCATGACACTGACACAAGCAGGCTGCAAGAGCCTGGTCTGCAGCTATAGACAAGGGCAGTGAGTGATTGAATCTGAAGCAGTAGCAAAATCACAGAGCAGACCAGGGTCAGCAACAAGTGGGCAGTGCAGTAGCAAATCATGAGCAGGATCAGAGACTAAGCTGATGTCTGAAATTGTAAAATGTTACAGAATAGGATGTAAAAGTAGGTCGGGCGTAAGCCAGGGTCCGCAATGGAGAAACAGAGCACAGGTTCGATCCCAAGAACAAGCTGAAGGGGCTGGAGATAAGAGAGGCCATCCTCATAATTTCAGTCTCTATCAGGTATGTGACCGTACCTGATCTGGACAAAAGTGTGTGTTTTTAGTTATTTAGTATCCTTTTTAAATCCGAGATATTGCGTGCTGGTCTATCAACACCACCTTACTATGGCAGTTGCTGTCTTTGCATATTATGTATAATACTAGAGATGACTGGTCAGAGCAGTGATGAGATCTGTTACCTCATTTGTGATTGCTGTGAAAGGATTGCCTGTTAATGCTAAAAAAAAAAGTGTACACTGCCGTTGCTTGCCACTACATCAGGTTTCTAGTTGTCATTTTTTAGCATTTCTGGTTTTGGCTTTAGTTCTTTTGAGGTACTGGCTCAGAACAAATAAGCAGCATTAAAACTCGACCGAACACTTGCTGACGCTGATGCAATCAGTGAAAAGGAAGAAATGCACCATAAACACACTCAGGTTGCAGGGATCTTTATAAATGTGCTTCTGACTTAACCACCTGCAGTCTGGCCGCTCCTACTGTAATTAAACGGCTGGACAGCGGCTTCTTGAATGCGGGTGGGCGTTTTTAAACGTCCCACCCCACTTGTGCCCGCCGCTAGGCGGCGTGATTTCAGCCTGCAATGGCTGTGTACATACAAGCATTCAGGCGTCTGTAGAGATGCCCGATCGCTTGTAATAAGCGTGTGGGTGTGCGGCCCCTCTGCTGCAGTCGCTGCTGGCGATCCCGAGCTCCGGTGTAAGCCCGGGACCAGCACAGCAGCTCTGCGGCCGGAGATCAAACGGAGCTCAGTACACGAGCTCCGTTTGATCTCCTACTCCTCTTCGGAATGCAGGCAGTGATGGTATTACATCACTTTCTGCATTCAGTGTCAATCTCCGGTACAGAAACTGGAGAGAAGCAGGTGTTTGCTTCATCAGCTTCTCTGGGGGTCCCTAGGTGACAGGGGTCTTAAAGACCCCTGATGTCTCCATAAAGAGGACCTGTCACTGAAAATTGGCTGTCGCAAAGGGGGCTTGTTAGTCCCCTATGTGATAACAAAGTTAAGTGGAAACAAAAATGTTTAAAATAGTTACAAAAAAAATTAAAAGTCACATATAAAGGTCATACATTTTTTTAAATTTTTTTAAACTTCCCCCGCCCCCCACATAAACATGCGTCGAGTGCGCTTAAGTGCGTAAACGACGATTGCATCCATTACGGCGCACATGTTGCGTATCGCAGCAAACGTCGCAGTGAAAGCAATCATTCTAGGGCCATCAATCACTGATAACCCTAAACTGATGAGCCGTAAAAGCTTTTAAAGCGTCGCCTATGGCCAATTTTGGGTATGGTACTTTTTGTGAGTTCGCGGACGCACGCAATTTTAAAGCTTAACATGTTTGGTGTCGATTTACCCGACGTGACCCCGACTTATATTTTGCCAAAAATTTGGGTCATAACTGTTTTATAACAACGTAGGGAAAACAGTTTTTTTTCCCCCCAAAATGTTCGGTACTTTTTTCATTATATAGTAAAAAATAAACCCCCCCCCCCCCCCCCCGGGGTGATTAAATACCACCAAAAGAAAGCTCTATCTGTCCCCAAAAAAGGGTATAACATTCATTTCAGTACAGCGTGGCATGACGGTATAAATGTTAGTCAAAGTACCACAGCGTTGAATACTGAGAAATGGCCTGGACAGGAAGGGGGTGTAAACAACCCGGTCAGCAAGTGGTTAATGTATACTTTGAATTGTTCTGCCCAATAAACCTGAGTTGAGTTTTTTTGTTGACCAGATATACGCAAATACAGTTAAGTACATTTGAAGAAAGGAAAAAAAAAATGTCCCCAGTTTGGTATAACACATAGAGAGCAGCTATGTTTTTTGGGGGGTGGGGGTGGGGAATAGTCTCTTAACCACTCCCTTTTTAAAACTTGACTGTTGCACTGGAGTTAGGCATCCATTACTTAACAATGCTATCCAAGGTTTTAATAATGATGATTTTATTTTTTATTGCCTGAAAGCAAAGTACTCTGATTTATGTGTTTTTTTTTTTTTGGCCTGAAACAAAATTTCCTTGTTTTTTTTTTTTTTTTTTTTTTTTTTTTTTCCTTTTTTTAAACATTTATTTTGTTAAAGAATGTGTTTTTATCTAGTTCTAATAAAATAATTTTGAAGACTTTCAGATTCAAAAAAAATATTAAAATGTGAAATTGGCAAACTTATTTTCCTGTTAAAGCCTTGTATACAAGCATTTACAGGTACGCTAGATCATTTATGTAGTGTAGATGCCTCAAAGCTGTGTTCAGATCTATTTGAAAAGGCTTTTCTCTGAGCCTGCTTGCTTTTAAGACATCCTGTGTTCATTTGCCATACTTAATGGAGTTTTATATTACTTCTCATCCATTGAGGGATACGCAAAGTCTTAAACCCTCCTGGATTATACTGCTGCCTATAGGAGGATTGGATACTGTCAAACAAACTGTGGGCCAGCCTAGGATAACCCTTCCCACTACTAGCATGCCTGAGTTGTTTTTTTGTTTTTGCAAGCGTACTAGGAAGATGGATGTATTTTCAGCTCTGCTTTTTTTCTTTTCATTTTCCTGAAATGCTGTTATCCTCTTGTTTTAGTCCATTTCTTCTTGGAAGTCTTCTCTAGTTCTGCTTGGTGGGGATCATCCTCCACACACTGAAAACTTTGGGGGCTCAATTCATCCAGTTATTCACCTAATCTGACTGTAGATGCTCTATGCATGCGTCTTAGCCTTCTGCTGCAGATTCTATAACTGATCTGTCTATTGCATTAGCTGCTTCTGAGCCATGTGATGCGACTTATTCTGGGTCGCTCCAGTATTTCCCTGATGAGCTTATCCTTGAGTAGTCAGTCTTCACTATTACTCCAGACATTCAAGACACTGTTTTGGCTGTTAATGATGTGGTTCTCACCACTCTGACTCTGGAGGATCAGCCTGCTTTGAGAGTCCCAGAAGCCGCAAATACCTTCCCATTTCACTCTTTGAAATTGTCCTCTGTGGGAATTGGAAACATTCTGACATGCCTACACATCCCTGCACCCCCCCCTTCAGGTCTTAGTAAGGCTTTTGTCAAGCTGCGGTCCACCACTGTAGATCAAGCAGTGGCCTATCTTTCTTTAGAGACCACTTTGGTAATAGTTTTCTGTATTCAAAGACCCTACTGATGACTGTTCAGAAGCCCTCTTTAGAACCCAGCTACCCTTGGTGGACTCTGTCCTTTGTCTTATTCTGGCCATGACTTTTCTTTGTCAAATCATGGCAGAATTGTCAAAATCTTAAACTTGCCACTGTAGCAGTGGATCCTTCTGAGCGTGCGTGGAGCAAATTGGTTGGATCTTTACACTTCAGCTGTGATGACCTGCTAGAAGCATCTTATCTTGAATATGTGATTGTCCATACACATGTATTGGGCACTCTGTTTAAAGTGCTTGTCTACTGATCCCATATCCAAGTACACCAACGTTGTCTTTGAGGGACAACATCTTATCTGCCCAGAGCTTGACATTAAGGATCTTACTGGAAGCAAGAGCACCGGTTTACCTAAACCCAATAAACAGGAAATGTCTGCAAAGTCTCCTTAAGTATGTATGGCTTGGTTCTCTGGCCACACTCAGTCTGGGGAAAAAAAAAAAACCTCCTAAAACCTTAGAAAAAACCTTCATCAGCATGATGGTGTGCCCCCATTCTGCGATTCATTGCCAAGCACCATCTACGATAGTCTGGTCCTTTCTAGTTTATGAATCCTATTGCTAAAGGTTTTTGAACTGCTCACTGCTGTGGTGCTTTTTCTTATCTGCAAAAACTGTGAAATGCCTGCATTAAAAGTGCTGGCTGATGAGCTTGCTGCCTTTAGTGTTTTCAAAGAGCAGGTGCCCTGTGTTTTGAGTAAGGAGGCTAGAATTGCTGCCATGTCGCTGCTGGGAGAGAGAAAAAGTGAGATAAATCCACTAAGAATCTGACCGCAAACAGCATTTGTTATGAAATTTGAGTTTGAATTTCTGCAGTGTGGTTTGTGAGAGCTTACGTTAACGTTAATTTTGAAAATGATGGCAGCAACACGTC